CACAGAGAGAGAGAGAGAGAGAGAGAGAGAGAGAGAGAGAGAGAGAGAGAGAGAGAGAGAGAGAGAAAGAGAGATGAGGCGAACAGAGTGAGGGAGGAAGTGCATTCGTGTGATGACGGGGAGATAATGCAAATAGAGAGACTGTCGCGGCTGCAGAAGGGTGTGGTAACGTATCTGTCTGACCRCCTRAAACTGAGGGTATAGGAYARCTGARATTTGATTCCTTGAGTACTACTATTATTTACCATCAAACAGATCTGGCCTGATTATCAGCCTGGAAGGTCTACGCTTGGTATTGGCTCATTTCGGTATTGGGTCGTCACTGTAATCAGAGCCCTGATCAATTATCGGATCACCCTTGCAACCAGAACCCATTTATGTCTATTGGCTCGTTTCAGTTTTGGCTTGTTTTGGTAATCAGAGACCCGATTAACTAAAGGTTCACATCGGCAATCAGAGTTTAGCCTATCGATTGGCTCGTTTCTGTAGACCGAGCCCTGAAAATTTGTTGACATGCTCCTGAGCAGATCCTGATTCATCTTTTGTACTTATTCACCTCTCCTTTTGGAAACCCTTTTACTTTGGTGGGGCTGGTACTTTCGAAAGTCGGCTGTTTTTTGTGGAAAGTCAAAGAGTTGTTCTTTCAGAATTCGTTGATGATATTCTGCATTGACAGTGAGCTCACCTCGGATCCGAAAGGCATCGCTCTCAGCATATAGACGAGGGGTGAGACAGGCAGCTCAACCCCGACAACCCCTGCCTGCCGCTGAGGACCTCTGACGCGGGCGCGGCGAAGTGACAGGCGCCGTAGCCCATGGCTTCAGCGAGCGGTAGGTAGCCCCTCCCCGGGTTTTCTCACAACGGGTCATACGCCCTTGCACTGTGAGCTGGGCCGTGGCCTGCGCGGTGGCTTCCAGAATGGTCCACTGAAGACCTGCTTTTCTCCCGCCGCCTGTCCATGCTGACGTCGTTCTTAGCAGACCGCCTCTTACGCGTACGTCAAGGCACCCTGCCGAGGATGCAGACGTGGAAGAAGATGACAAGGACAAGCAAAAGGATGATTAGGAGCAGCAGCAGCAACCTTCAAAATACGTTAGCCATGAAAGGCAAATGGGGAAGGGCAGTAGCTAGACGGCGATGGTACATCTCCAGGAAACTACGATGAAGAGGGCTGCAGACGGCAGACCAGAAGATGGGACAAACGCTTGGTAACGTTTGTGGTACACAGTGGGCAATCAGAGCAAGGGGGGTCCGACTGAAGTATTCAAATTTGCCATCTGTTTGACCCTTTTCCGTTTGGCGGCATGCACTGTGATGGTGAACACTGGTCAACGACGTTCGCGGGGGCCGGCCGACCACCAACGGTTGCCCTTGGCGTAAGGTTCCTGGAAGCTGAACATTGAAGACCCAAGATGTCCGTGCGCTGCCCGGTAGGAACTCCAATGGACCAGCCGATGAAAATTTCTTGCCCACGACGGGTGCCCTCGCCGCTCCGATTATTGCGGATCCTTGACCTCCAAGGGACCTCGGGAGGTCCCTTGGGGAATGCCACCAAATGGCTTTAGCCCGAGGACGACCCGAGGATTCCCGAAGGAAATGTGTTCACTTTTTTTTTCGTTTTCATTCCCGAGGATAGGTGGAACAAAATTTTCCTTGGGGGATTTACGTGCCCGAGGAGTGCCTAACGAGCCCCTATCTAAAGAGCCCCTATCTCCGGTTAGGGTAGGTGGCAACATGCATCTCTGAGTAGTGGTAGGCAGGTAGTGATCGGTGAAATTGAGTGAAGAAGAATGAAAGGGTAAAAGAAACCCCCCTCCCACCTATGGAACTGGTATCAGCTGGCACGTCGCTGTCAACCACTGCCAAGGGGTTGTGCGCGTTTTTTCTTTTCACCGTTGACGTGCCATCACGGCTGTGGCACCTCAGGCTTCTCGGGTCCTCGCTCAGGGGCGAGGTCCCACTAGCAAAGAGGATTCGATTTAGCGCCTGAATCTGGAGGTGTCGTGAGAGAGATGCAGAAAAGCAGGTGAAGCAGGTGAATCTCGATTTTCTGCATCGTTGCAAAATACACGTTTAGATTCGCGCGCTCAATTTATTCTCTTTGCCAGTGGGACCTACAGTAGCCCCAGATCTACACACGTGAGTCTCTCGATGGACTTCCACGGAAGGACGAGTGATCGACATTCACTGACTGACGGATGCTATTTCATTCCATGTCTAAGAGCCAACCACTTGGTTTTCCGTTTTCTTTTTCATTTTCACTTTGTCATCATTTGCTAATTGCTAATTCCAGGAATTTCACGTCTGACAAATTTCACGTAGTAGAGTCCGCCATTTCACTAAAATCACGGGTCGGACATCAAGCGCACCCCCGCCCCGTCCTGAGTGCGCGTGCGCGCGTGCATGCGCGGTCTCTGACCGATTGGTCAGCAGAGGGGCCAGAGCCGGCGTATGCGCGCGCAGCAGTGCCGATTGTGCGAACGCTCCCCGTGCAGATTTCCGCGTGCTAGTTCGTCTTCGCCCGTCGTAGCGGCGCATTTCCTATCTTGCGCGCGCGAAGAGGGCTCACTCTTTCCACCTATCTTTCCCGCCAGCCCGCCCCTCCCTCGCGCCCCCGAGCTGGGCGGGGAAGACTCGTTCTTGGAGAGTGCCTAGGGGTGCCACGTCGGCGTAAGCAAGGAGAATATATATATTTGTATTTGTCGGCTACTTAATTCAGGGTGGGTGAGCGGGGAGAGATCCTCTCTGGAGGCAAGCCCGGCACGAGGATTCGTATCGTCGTCGTTTGTCAGCAAGTCGATTCAGGGCGAGAGGGGAAGTCCTCTCTGGAGGTAAGCCCCGCGGGAAGTCAGATTCATCCAGTTCTGGCCGTAATTACAGTCAGGTACATTTTAGTTTAGAAGAGTTCAAGTGGGAGTATGCCCCAAGTATAGGGAGGAGGTCGCTATGATGGCTGAAAAAAAAGGGAGGCTTGGCGAGTGAGGGGAGGGAGAGGGGTGTGGGTGTTGTGGGTGCGAAAAGGAGGGTCGACCACTGAGGAGAGGGGTGTGGCTTCTCTTATGGCTATGGCTATTTGAACGTGACCGTTGAGTGCCCGGCTCTCCACTGGCCGGCCTTTCTACACCGTTGATCAGCAGCTAGCAAGATTTCATATTCATATACCTATGTTTACGACGGGATACCTTGGCGGTCGTTGATTGGCCGCTGGGATGCGCGGCTGGTGATGGGATTTTTATTTTTATTTTTTATTTTTATTTTTTTTTTTAACAAGAAAAAGACGTATCATTATAACAAGTGAAAGTCGAACGGTGAAGACTGTGCCCTCGTCGGATGGTCTTTTTTTGTTTTTTTTTCCGTGTTATTTTGACGAAGTTAAGAAGCGAGCGGAGAAGGGATAAGAGGGATAAGGAGAGGAGAAGAGCGAGACTGCTTTGCTTTACTTTGCTTTGCTTTTTTCCTTTGCTTTTGTGGGAAGTGGGGTTGCTTGCTCTCTGATTGCCTCGTGATTGATTGGCGCTCTCTCTCTCGGATTTGCTCGTGATTGATTGGTTGATTGGCGCTCTCTCTCGCAGGGGGGCGAGAGTCTGCTTTTGCCAGATTTGTTCCAGAGAAGGCCTATCATCAGGGAAGTCAGGGGAGGAGGGCAGGAGGACTCGTACGCCCTGGGGCTTTTGCGGTGGCTGTCCATCTGCTGACCCTTCTTTCGTCACCGGGAGCGTGGGTTGATTGAATTTTGCAAAGCTGCCCCTGGGGGATTGCAGGAAACTTGCGCGTTTTCCAATGATCCAGAAGATTGATTCCCAGAAGATTAATTAATCTTGATATGCAGGGTAATGACAATCAAATCAATTGAGCAGAAGACTGTGAGCAGGGAATTCGTAAATGGGTTCAGATTAATTAATCTTTGAAGCTGAAATAGGGAAGAGCTGTGTGAGATATATAGTCCCCCTGTGAAATAGATTTGTCTGTGTCTCTCTGTTCATCCTCGTTCACAAGAATGTGAATGAATTGATTTCGGGAATCCCAATTGTCTCTTCGTTTATTCGTTCTTTGTGATTAGTTGGTTCGATCGGGCACTTACAGTAGTAAATAATTGGCGGGAATCCCGACGATTTCGATTTATTTGTTTTTGGCGGGAATGGGTGCGACGACCTACATTGGCTGGATTTATGGAAGGGACGTGTCCAGGTCGATCTCTTGAACGGAGTCGGGATTGTGATGCGAAGTGCTCGAGCGAAGTCGGGATTGCGATGCGAAGCGCTCGAGTGAAGTCCGGATTGCGATGCGAAGCGCTCGATTGAAATCGGGACTGCGACGCGAAGAACTTCAGTGAAGTCGGGATTGCTGACTTGCTTAAACGGAAAAAAAAAAAAAAAAAAAAAAGACGAAGCAAAGAAAGGAAGCTGGGATTGGGGCCCGAGTGAAATGGGGATCGAGATACGCAGTAAAAGGAACATTCGCGTGAGGTTGGGGTCAGCAAACGAGGAACGATGAGCGTCCGAGTGAAGTTGAAGTGACAGGCAGATCGATGCTCGAGTAGAAAAGGTGATCATTCAAGAGAAGGGGGAGGGGGTTTGGTTGGGGGTACAGAGAGAGGTAGAGAATTGTAGACGGCGACCCGGGGGGAGTGTTGAGAAGCTCATGTGAGTGAACGTTTCGTCGAAGCCGAAGAGAGAGAGAGAGAGAGAGAGAGAGAGAGAGAGAGAGAGAGAGAGAGAGAGAGAGAGAGAGAGAGAGAGGCGAAAGGGAGCCAAAAAAAAAGTGGGCAAGATGAGTTTCATCAAGCTGGAGGATTCGCCGATGTTCAGGAAACAGGTTGGTTTTCTCTTTCATGTCCTTTTTCTATTTCATGTCTTTTTTTGAAAATATATTTCGAAAATATATACACATATTTTATCAGCCTCCTGATGAGTAAGTCGGTGAAACTCAGACGAAACAGTTTGTCACAGCCCCTCGTTTGTTGTCCTCTTCTCCCTCTTGTCCCTCTCTGCCTACGGTTTACCGGGCAGCTCTGTTTGACGATATATATTTTTATGATATCATGTGACAATATATATTTTTATACAAATATTTTTCCCTTTGTTTTTATATTATGCAATACGCAAAATTGCACGTCTAGACAGATTTGAACCTGCAGTAACTCCAACTAAGAAAAAAGGCATTTGACTCCAGCGTCTGAAAATAGACCTTCACGGCGTGAAATGCTGGAATAGAATCGCGGGTGCGGACATGCCCGGGCGTTACGGGTATTTAATTTAAAATAAATAAGTAATATAATTAAATTTAATAATAGTAAAGCTTAATTTAGTGAATTTCGTAATGAGAAGTAATACTGATCGATTATTATGGCGTATCAATCGAAATGCTAATACGATAGATCAATTATGGCGTTTGAAAATGCTCTATTTTTATCCGACACGTTTCGGGATTCTTTTCCCTTTTCTTTATTTTATTTTTTGATCCACACTCACATCCCGGGGCGATTCACACTCACATGTTACGCCGTCTTCCCCTGAAAAGAACTTAACGGTTATTACTGTATATATCCGTATTTGGCCCAACTTTCAGTCCAGACCTTAGGAGCGTCGACCTTCCTGATGGATGGGGTAAAAGAGTCAGACACATCATTCTCATCACAACAGGTGGAACTTTCACCAGAAGGTTCGATTAACAATAGATGGAACTTTCACCAGAAGGTTCGATTGACCACGGTCTTCTTTTTTTTTTTTCGTGTTTTTTTTTTCACAAAAATTGAAAGGAAATTCTGAATCAGTCGTTACGGAGAGCATATTCTTCGATCTTGGACGCGGTCTTTTTTTTTTTTTGTTTTTTTTTATAGAAAACGGGCCCAGTGCTCAAGGCTTGTATTTCCAATACCAAGTTTCAGAGGCGGGGGTCGTCGCAGTCTACCCGGTATGGCTGGGGACATTGCCCAGTTTCGCTTACGGGGGGCTCGGTCTTCTTATATAACCCGCAAAGTATCTGTCAAACGGCTTTATTCAATATCAAATTAAAACAATTAAGTCTTTATTCAATTACCACGGCGTTAACTTGACCTTGTAATTTATGCCTGCAGCGAAAATGACGGTTATAATAACATTGATTGAGATATTTGAGTAATTCTCTGGATGTATGTGTCCGCATACACGGACGCACACATGCACACACACACCTGATGAGTCGGTGAAAGTCCGACGAAACAGTCTGGCAGAGTCGTGCTTTTTTGTGTATAGCGAATATGACAACACACACACACACACACACACACACACACACACACACAGAGAGAGAGAGAGAGAGAGAGGGTAAAGCAAGGGGAGAAAAAAAGCTAACATAGGGATGGCAGGATTTGAACCTGCGGCATTTCGTACCCAAGACAAACGCGCTACCAAGCTGCGGTATATTCCTGCTTGAATTTGATTATATATCGTCAAATAAAACTGGCCGGTACACCGTAGGCAGAGAAGGAGAATAGGAGGACAACAAAAGAGGGGTTGTGATATGGAAGAATACCAAATTATTAAGAGATAAATTAAGCATAATAGCTACTTATGGAAGGTTACTATCATAATGACCACCATAAATTAAATTCAATTGCAATTTCATTGTGTGTGAATGACCGGCCGAGTACTATTTTAGGGTTCCGGGGGGAGGAATTATTTGTAGCTAGTAAGTGCGGGATAATCTATTTTAGGGTTGTGTGGAGAGGAACCTAAGGGTGGACGCGCGGGCGATGGGGAGAGTTACACGGCGGACCACTCGCGCGCGCACGCAAGCGATGGGGAGAGGTACACGGCGGACCCCGCGCGCGCGCGCGAACGATGGGGAAAGGTACACGGCAGACAGCGAGAGAGAGAGAGAGAGAGAGAGAGAGAGAGAGAGAGAGAGAGAGAAATTTCCTCCGTATTTGTATCATACCTGCTGGTCAGGGTTACGACATTCTGCTAACGTGGCGCAATGCGCATATAATTACTGCTTGTTTGCGTGTTTTTTTTTTTTTTTTGT